CCTGGGAGGGGAGGCTGTGGAGGTGTTGGAGCTCCAAGTGCCAGTAAGATTTGGAACTCTTCTCTTGGGATCCCAATGAAAACAGCTCAAAACAGGAGAGGGGAACTCGTGCTAGCCTTGAGAAGTCAGTTGAGGTGAATCTCCTGGGAAGGGCTGGAAAACCCAGAGCTCCAGTTCCCAACTGGAACTCCCTGTGAGCCAGGACTGGCACTCTGAGTGGGCAAATTCCAGGGAGGCACTGCCTGGGACACGGATTTGCATCTTCATTGGCAGCAATGTGCTTCCAGCAGCTCACTGGAGCTCCAGAGCCTCCTCTGGCTGAGCTTTCACTTCCACCCCTTGGATCAAAGCTGTGGGGCCAGGGGTGAGGTTTTGGCCTGAGTGAGGGGAGGGAGGAGCATTCCCTGGCCCTGCAGGGTCACTGGAGCTCACTGGGCTTTGCTGGTGCTGTGTTCACCCTCAGGACACTCCTCGGTGGTAGCAGATGGGGACCAGGCCAGCTCTGAGGATCTCAGCTTTGTCCCTGCAGATGACAGCACCAGGTAACTGGGAAGGTTCTCCTGGGGCTGCTCAGGGATCCTGAGCTCCCTCTGCCCCTGAGGCAGCCTGGGAAGGAGGGAGGGAGGGAGGGCTGAGCTCTGAATGCTCCCAAAACTGACTGGGTTGAAGCAGCTGGCATAAAATTGTAACTCTTGGATTGTGTTTGTTTGAGGCCTTCTCCAGCAGGAGAGTTCTCAGTGCACCCTGCCTTTGTCTGGAGCAGGTAGAGCGTGGGCTCGGGGCCTGGAGATCCTCGGCTGCGTCCCTGGGGAGGTGTGGGAGTCCCTGGAGCTGTGCCCACGCTGTGCCCTCTCCACTCTGGGTTCTTCTGCCATTGTCTCACCCTGCCCTGGGCACGAGGACTTTGCAGGGGTGGCCCTGCTGCTCCACCAGCACGTGGGGAAGGTGCTGAGCCCCAGGCTGGGATGAGAGTCCTGCTGTGCCCCTGGAATGAGCAGAGTGTGCCTGTCCTTTGGGATGCTGGGGGAATCAGCCACCACTCCATTGTTTCCCCAGTTGGTGACGTGGACCAACCACACCCATTGCCAAACTTTGTTCGTTGCATTTTGAGCTGCTGAAGTCCTTGTGAAGCTCCTGTGGGAGCTGATGCCTGGTTAGTGACAAAGCATGAGCCCTGTCAGTACCTGCTGGTGTTGTCCTCGTGTGGCTGCCCGTGCCCTGTGTCCGTGTGAATGTGCTCTACAACTCCTGGTTTTAAACTGTTTGCACTTTGTTAATAAAATGAATGTTGAAATCTGAATTTCAGGTGTTTTGTGTGTGGATAAGTACAATGGTGGAGGCTGTCAGGGTCAGCTCCATTCACTGCAACACCTGGCTGTGTGTGGAGGGGTTTTTCCTGTCACTTTTTTCTTTAATTATTCAGTGAAAAGCACTGAATCCCCTCTGGGATTCTATTTGTAGAAGCCAGACCAAATGCTGAAATCAAATGAAACCAAATGCCGATTCAAGCAGGAATTGAGAAGGATGCAGAGTTTTGCCCAAAGTTGCTTTGGTTCTTCAGAGGGAACAGGTGCTGGGCCAGGCCAGGCCGCAGCTGGGGGTGTTTGGGGGTGTTTGGGGCTGTGGGGTCACAGCTCAGTCCCTGCAGCCGTGGGGCTCTGGGGCACAGGGGCTGCTGAGAGCGGAGCTGCTGCTCTGCTCACCTTCTGTGGGCAGCTTATCCAGAGCTGGCTGGGAAAGGGGCTGGGAAAGGGACACTGATCCCCTTGTGCTGTGCCATGACAGCCCCATCCCTTTGGCCACACTGATGGGCCCTGAGCAGCCACGGGAAATCCAGAGCTCAGCAGGGTAACCCCAGTTCCACATCCAAAGGAAACCCCAGTTCCACACCCAAAGGAAACCCCCTTCCACCACACTAAAGGCACAGCTGCTCTCTGCCTTTGTTAGCTCTTCAATAACCAGACTAGCTGGAGTGTGGTTTAAATTACTGTTTTATTAAGATATTGGTAAAACTTCAACAGTTTTTCCTGTATAAACAGCTTTCATAAATAAAATATGGATGACTAATACATGGTTAGAACTAAACTCGCGGGTGAACTGTAGAACAAGATTGCAAATGGAAAAGTCCCAACACTGGTACATGATTTAGCTTGGATTTATTCACTTCATAAAGAACATGTTTCATGAACAAGGTACTACAGAAAGGTCAGCGGGAGCACCCAGGAGCTGAGGCCGTGCCTGGCTGGCCACGAGCAGCAGCAGCAGCATCGGGGTGAGCTCAGCCCCCTCCCCTGCTCTCGTCCCGGGGTGTCTGCAGAGGGAAGGAGAGGAAAGACCGGACAGGACAAGGGGTGTACGAGACCCTGACAGGTGGGGCTTGTTTGTCTTTAATGCTGGCAAGGGCTGGGCCATGGCCGGGGTGCCAGGGCTGGAGGGGGGCACGGACAGCCTGTTGATGCTTCCTTATTATTGCACATGATACGAGGGTAGAGAGTTTTGTTCCTGTCGCAAAGAGGATGTGAATTAAAGAAAGATTGCCCTAAATTACAGACATGAACAAAGCTGCAGTATCCCCTTGGATGGCTTTGTTTATGTGACTGAGTGCCGAGTGAGGAAATTGTGCTAAAACAGCCCCTAATTTAGACCAATCTTTCTCATTTTGCTTTATTCCCACAGAATCTTGGGGTCGGGGGGATTTGGTGAGGAGAGAGTGGACCTGAACTACAGCAGCCATGTCTGTGCACACAACTCCTTGTGCCTCATCTGCCCATGGGACAACTGACACACAGTGCTCCAAAAACAGGTGGAGTTTCTAGGATGATGCACCACCAGAAACGTGGTGTAAGTTAAGTTAAATCTGCTTGGACATTGTCCTCCAGCGCTGCAGCTCAGCAGCTCGGCTACAGACGGTTCTCACTCACAAGGACAATGGATGGCACTTGTAGGTAAAGAAAAGTTCCACACGTGCGTTTCCACCCACCTCTAGTGCAAATGGGATGGGTGAAGAGCTCCCTGCCCTGTGCTGTTCTCTCTGCACCGCACACCTTCCTCAGCCTTGGAAGCTCCTCACAGTGAGGAGCTCCCGAGCTGCTTTTGAGCAGCTCCGGGCAGAGCAGCCCCGAGCCCCTTCCTCAAAACCACCACAACTGAAACAGAACAAAGCTATAAAGTCGTGTTGTCACCGCTACCTCCTGGTTCTGCAAGCACGGTCAGCACGGCGACCGAGAGGGATGCGGGGTTGTGTGGACGCGGCAAAGGGATACTTCAGCTCTTTATTGGAAAGATTTCGTTGTACAAATTTTCACCACCACTAAGATACACGATAAAAATACAAAACACAGGTCACAGACTAAATCTCAGTATCAACAGTTAATAAATACAATGAGATAGTTCTCTATTAGCCTAATATTTTACACTGTCACCAGAGAGACGATCAAGGTACGAATACAGAACACTTAGATACCGTTAGAGAGGGATTATTGCTTACGTCAGCAAGCAGCAGATAAGGGCACAGGAGTTTGAACTGAAGGAACTACTTCCTATCACCAGTGGCATTAAGAGAAAACACTGCATTTCACAAGCACTGCTTTTTGTCTAGTGTGTAGAATCAAGAGCAGCATAATCAGACCAATAACCACTACTTTTAATATTATAGAACTTTAAAGGACTTACCTTACAAATGGTTCCTATCTACTCTATAAATATGCAGTTAGTGAAGAAATGAACACTTGCTCTATCTATACAATGGTTTTACCTGACCACACTGCAACTACGATGGTGGATTGGTTTTTTTTCTCCTAGCAAGATAAATGGGATGAGTCGCAGAATTACCATTTATGAATCCACACCTAAAAAAGCTAGATCCTTCCCAAAACAGCACACATGCAGTCCAGTGCTCTTCAACTGCTCCTGCAGACTGGGAAGAAGTTTTATCATCCGTGACGGGTTTGCATTCTCATTTACTCACATCAAGAATTGCACTTACACCACCTTTCTCTCCAGAACATGACAGTCAGCTAAAGATGGACTTTCAGTGAGTCATTATTACTGTCAATAATTTAAAACAAAGGCACCGCAGAGATGCCCCAGAGTTGCATATTTTACCATTTCATGGTTTCTCAAATTTCCTCGGTAAATCTGACTTGGACCAGAAGCTGCAGCTAAAGAGAACGTTGACAACAGCTAAGGCAGAATAAGATGGCAGATAAGAGCCAATGATCCCATAAGATTAAAACAAAGTCTGAAAAAGATCAAAGGAATCTAAAGCCACACTCCAACTCCTGGTTGCTCACAAAGCCTTTTGCTGTTCATCAGATTGCTTTTAAAATAGTGCATCAAAGAGAGAAGCAGCGGAAATTGGCAGAATTCAAGCCTCGCCATCTTGTTGTGTTGAATAATTTTCTTGACTACTTAATATTAAAATACTTTGCAAATTCTAGCTAAACACTAATACTGCTATTGTTACTGCTAAAATGATACGGATTGTTCACTAAGTGCTTATGAAGATTTATTTTGTTCATCCTCCTCCCAATGCATCGCTGTAACACAGGGTAGGAACGGGATCTGGACTTGGTGGAGCTGATGGGAATCGGCCGCGTATTCACGTCCCAGTGAGCGGCTGCCCTGAGGCGGGAGCTGCCCCGGCAGGGCA